AGGAAAAGAGTGAAGGTGACCAGCAGGGCTGTCAACTCGCTGGCACCATCTCTATCCTGCTCCTTCCTGAGGAGTTAGGGAGGGCTGGACCCTGCCTGCCAGGGGCTCCAGAGAGACAGGAGGACCACCCCACACTTGTGTGTCCTCTTAGGTTTTCCCTATGATATGATGACACCAAATGCCCCCTCCTCGCCCACAGCTCCCTTTGCCGACAAAAAGCCAATAAACTGGCGGCAGCCTCAGCAGTTTCCCACAGCCTGGGAAGGCTGTGCAGGCGAATCTCCCCACGAGCACCCGCCGCCACTCGTGGGAGTCACGGTGGCATCTGCAGGTGCGTCACGCAGGCCCTCTGGCCCCAGACAGCAGCAGCAGCAGCGTGTCCTGAGGCCCAGGCGGGCTGGCCTGGGCGCACTCAGCCCCTAGACGGCGGTGGGCGGGAGGGAGGGGGCGGAAGCGCACACGTAGCGAGTGCTTAGCCTGCCTGCAGGCCTTCAAGCACCCCCACTGATGTTGGGTAGGACAGCAGGGGAGGCGGAGGGACTTGCCGGAGGTCACACAGCTCAGAGTGGGGCCCAGCTGAACCCATCATCCCTCGGTGGCTGCCCTCAGAGAGGGAATGCTCTGGAAGTGCCAGCTCTATGCCAGGCGCTGTCTGGTCCCTCTTGCTGAAACATCACTACAACTCTTTGTTAATTTAACAAGTATTTATTAAGCACCTACCACAGCAACAAGCAGGGTTATTATTTCTCTTCCCAGCTGAAGAATCACAGGCTGGGGGTGGGGGTGGGGGAGTAGGGACGGGGATGGGGTCACACAGCAGATGTGGCAAAACCGGGATTCCGACTCAGGCCTGGGTGGGTCCAGGTCCTGGCTCACCCTGGTCCCCAGCCTCTGGCCTTCCCTTCACCTCCCATGATGCCCTGTTCAACCCGGACCCCCTCACGCCTCTCCCCAGCTCTCCAGCCTCAGCCCGAGCCCGCTCTGTTCTCTGAAGCCTTCCGTGGCTGCACTGCCAGCCGCCAGCCCTGCTTCCTCACAGCCCCTTGACCCTCACTCGGCTTCTTTTTAACTTGATGAAAATAA